GATGATGAATTAGAAGAGAGGGCTCTTTTAACTAAATCTTGGTGGGCTCGCCTCGGAAAAGAAAAACGCAATAAAAAAAAAAATAGATAGTGAGTCCTTATAATTTTGTTATTAAGAAGGCATTTTCCAAAATATTCGTCGGCTCGACTCAATTTATTTAACATTCCTAACTCTCTATTCCTTCTTGCCCCTTCCTGATACAAAAATTGAACATATCGAGCAAATAAATAAGAAGTGAGATAGACGAATTAAAAGAGAGAGCTCATTTTCCAAAATCTTGGTAGGCTCGCAATGAGAAAAAGACAAAAGTAATAAAAAAAAAATTCAATAAAAAAATTTGAGAGTGATTTCAAAATGAAGCCGTCCATAATGAACTGGAGTGAACGCAATATTAACCTGGCGTCATAATCTACTGTGATGATGCCCCTATCAACGGGTAAATGATTCACTTAATCATTTCCCACACGTTTCTTCCATTTCTCGAACTCCCCTCAAAGGGAGAAGAAATTCCAATAATTTATTATCGATCCCACGTCCGTTCCATTCTCAATTGGATAAATTATATTACATCACCACTTCAATCTAGTTAAAATCCCATTTTCTATCGGCGTTGGTTCTCTTAGCCTTTTTTACCCTCAGATTTTTCATGGCATATGCAAATATCTTTCTTGGGTTACTGTTCTTGTTAATTTTTTCCAATGCCCTCGTTCAATCTGACGAAGAAGAGCACATCAAAGTAGAGATATCCAACAAAGGTCTAGATTTTCTGAAGGATTTGATAATAGAAGAAGCAGAGTCTTCATTCGTTCCACTCGAGCTGTCCAAGATTGAAAAATCTGTGAAAATCCCAGTTGTAGGTAAAGTCAAGATAGTTCTTTCGAATATTACGATTGAAAGGATCCATGTGACAAACTCCACTCTGAAAACTGGAGATACTGGAATTGTTATAGCTGTAGATGGGGCCTTTGCGAATTTGAGTATGAATTGGAAGTACTCATACAGCACTTGGTTACTTCCCATAACTATTTCGGATCAAGGAAGTGCCAATGTTGAGGTATGCTTTGTTGAATGTGAAGACTCATGTATGGTTTAAATTTTTATGTAGAATCTCAAGTCATCGTGTTTTGTAGTCTATTATTGTATTTATGATAGGCAAGTAACTTCTTCTGCTTGCTATTATGAGAGGGGTTTTTGAAGTGCAAGTTTCCATGTGATTCTGGTGCATGAAAAGTTAATTTCACCGAGATTGCCCATTTGGTACGTGGACATAGTTGTAAAAACATTTATTATGACTACTAAGCACAAGACATGCTCAAAAAGAAAGAAAATGAAAGTAGTGAAGAAAAGAGTGTACAAAGTGCATAATCAGCATAATTAGGGGTGCAATTCTTGTTTTGGTCAATGTACTACATTCAGCCTCAGAGCGTTTATTAATTATTATTATTATTATTTTTTTTTGGGATGGTGATGGATATATCTATATTTGTGCAATCGCAACATGTTTATGGGGCAAAGGGAGGAAAGTAAGTGTAGTTCGTTGAGATTCTCTAGACTTTATGCATGTTGGGGGTAATAATGGAATCTTTAAATCGTGGCAATTATGTTATTCTCTTTTAAAGTCACACAATCATCTTGTGTTAATCTCCTCACCGATGCAAAGTTTCTGATTTTTTTTTTTGGGATGGTGACGGATATATCTATATTTGTGCAATCGCAACATGTTTATGGGGCAAAGGGAGGAAAGTTAGTGTAGTTCGTTGAGATTCTCTAGACTTTATGCATGTTGGGGGTAATAATGGAATCCTTAAATCGTGGCAATTATGTTATTCTCTTTTAAAGTCACACAATCATCTTGTGTTAATCTCCTCACCGATGCAAAGTTTCTGATTTTTGCTTTGTTTAAGGTTGAAGGTATGGAAATCGGGCTGACACTCAGTCTGAAAACTCTACAAGGATCTCTTAAACTGTCTCTTTTGGAATGTGGATGCTATGTCAAAGCTATCTCTATAGATTTGGACGGTGGAGCATCATGGCTTTATCAAGGGTATTGTTCATATGCCCACCCCCCATCCCCTTTCTTTTTTTCCCGTTTCAGGAATTATATATCTACATTTTCACATCTCTACCATATATAACACCTTCCTCAATAGCCTAATGAGGTGGTTTCGTATTTTGATCCAGAACAAATGTGAAGTTGCATCTCTCTCTTACCTTGTCTTTGCTTTATGGTCATTCGAGAGTTCTTGCCTGTTGGTTATAAGATATTGAACAGTGTTTGCCCATTATAATGGTGAAGTAATTGTGTCCTAAATGTGTTTATGCGTATTGATGATAGGATACTTGCATGATTTTATCTCGCATCAAGTGTCATATCAAACACTTAATCATACTGTATCGTACCTTCACAATTATACTCCCTTTTCACCAAATGGATTTCTTTTCAACTTTCTTAAAAATATCGGGATATATTTAATGCATTCTTCCTCCTGAAAATAACTTTCTGGTACAGGACTGCCAATTTTCTAGATAAACATCTATCTTGAAGTTCACTTGTCTATATAGATCTTATAGAATTGTATATAACAACATTTTGGATTAATTTCCCTTTTCCTATTTTCCAGGGTTGTTAAAGCTTTCAAGGGTAAAATTAGTTCTGCAGTTGAAGATGCTGTGTCTGAGAAAATAAAAGATGGAATTGTAAATCTTGACTCTTTATTGAAATCTATTCCTAAAGAAGTGCCAATAACCGATATTGCTGCTTTGAATGTTACATTTATTGATGACCCGAAGTTGACAGAACCAGAGCTAGACCTTGAAATCAATGGTTTATTTTCAGCCAAAAATGAAGTTGAGGTTTCCAACCAGTACCACAGAATGTTAGGGGCTTCATCTTCCTGCAAGATAGCGGATATAATGGTCAGGATCTCATTGCATGAAGATGTTCTTAAGTCAGCATCATCAGTTTACTTTGAAGTAAGCTTTTAATTTCCTTTATCTAATCGGTCAGTTGAAGATTGAACATATAGACCATATTCCTGAAAATGGGTAGGCAAGTTAGACAGTTTGTTATGTGAGAAATGGCAAGTCTTAGAAAGTAAATTTACGGAAAGACCAAGCTTAATTGAAAACAGTATTTTCTGTATTGAACTGATTAGCTTTTACTGCAATAGATTAAATGGTAGAAATGATTCAGATAAAGCAAAGTAAGTGGTGGCAGTCCCTTTTCTCCTCCATGCACATGTAGTATTGGATATATATTATGATGAAAGTGTTTAAAAAAGGTGCTTGATACTGATATCCAAGCCCCCCCGATCCATGTTTATTCAGTTGATGCTAATTTTTAACATATTACTGCCTGCCTTAAGGGAATTGTTCAACTACAGACTTACTTTGGCATTTGCTTCCAGAGGTTATAGTGGAATTGTGTCATCTGTTAGCTAGATAACAGTTAGCTTTTCTTTCAGGCTGGTAAGATGTATTGGATTGTTGACAAAGTTCCGGATCAATCTCTCTTGAACACAGCTGAGTGGAGGTTTTTTTTCCCTCGGTTGTACAAGCTGTATCCAAACGACGATATTAATTTGAATATTTCTGTGTCTTCGCCACCAATCATAGAAATTGGAAATCAGCAGATTCATACAATGATTCCCTTAGATATGGTGATTAATGTTCTAGATGCAGACAAAGCAATCCCAGTTGCATGCATTTCTATGGTAAGCCTACTGAAACAACTGTTAATTTTCTTTTTCTAACAGGCTATCAAGTATGAGTCTCTTATTATACTTGTCTTCTTGATTGTTCTAACTGTGGGTATTTAATTTGTCCTTCGAATTAATTTTTGGTGATAAACGGTCAAATATTAAAATTTCAGGTTGCTTTTGCATGTAATGCTGTCATTTATTGAACTTTAATTGAACTTTTATAAGGTCATAAGTTGGTAAATGCAGCACCGCAGATCTTTTATCCTTCTAGTTGAGATCTGTCTGCATTCGTTTAACGGAAAGGAGAAAAATGTAGGACTGGGACATCTTCAGACTTGTTAGACACATTGTCCAAAGTTTTTTGATTGATTTATTCGGCGGCAGAATACTTTTAATTCGTAGATCTTTTTTATTGCCAATTGACGGTAATCCTATCTTAAGGAGTTATTTTACTTGATAGCATTTTGACCGTGCCTGCTTTGTCGATTAAATTTTGTGATTTTATTTATCAATTGCTTGTTAACTTTTATGAACTTGATACGTGTTATTAGGATGGAAATGACACATTTTATTTGTTGCAGTCCATCAGTTCTTCAATATTTCCCGAAATTTCGGAGAATGGTCTTACAGGAAGCATAAAGTTAAATGACTTCACCATGTCTCTCAAGTGGAGCGAAATTGGGAACTTGCATGTGCACCTAATCAAGGTATCCTGGCTTTTTCTTTTGATTTCAGTGGGTGAATTTTATCCTCATGTGCGTAGTGGAAAAGTCAGTTATTAGACCGTGGGTGATTAAAAAATATACAAGCGTGATTCTGGGTTTTATTGAAGCCATGCTTCTCTTCATTTACTTAAGGTGGAATCCTTATTTTATGTCCTTACATTTGCAGAAATATAAAGGGTAGTGACATAGGAAGTGAGGGATAATGACGGCTAATGCATTTACTTTACTTTCCGACCTTGTGATCTGAATTCCTAAATGCATGGAATAATGTATCATTATGTTGCAAACTTGGTGGCGTTCAACACTATAGTCCTATCTCTCGACTTCTTCTAAACCTTGGCTTCACACCCACATCTGAATCCAGCGTCAGGTGGCAATTTCAAATTTGGCCTCTTTTGGTTGACATCGTTATATTCTAAGCTAACTCATTTTCATCTTTCTAAAAGAAAAAAATCTCATTTTTTTCTCAAAATTGGAGAAAGATAGCTTGGCGAATATTCCTCGATACAAGTGAAATTTCCAAGTAGAATTAAGATTCACAGTTCTGTGGCAGTTCTAAAAGTATTCTGAGTTTTCTGTTTTGCCTAAGAAACCATTCATCTTATACTGTCCTGCCTCTACGGGCCTACCTTCCGCAGCAAGCAGCTAAAAGATATTTATCTGAAGGGAGTTTTATTTTCATCCTAACCAGTTCTCATACACTTCACTTGACATAAAAAGCCTCATTTTTATGCTCTGGCGTAGATAATTCATCACGTACAATATTCTCTACTTTTGTTTCTCAATTTTCCTCATTTATTCGCAAGGAGATTTTTGACTACCTGCCAAGGGTCGGTATTCATAAATGCCATTATCTTTGTATGTTTTAATGCGCAACTTGCTGAGACCGTATAATCTTTGCAGACATTGATGTCCACTATGCTGAAGACTGTGATCGTGCCATACGTGAACTTACAACTCTGGAAAGGATTTCACTTACCTTCTTTCCATGGTTACAAGCTTCAAAATGCTCAAATCTTCTGCTCGGATTCTTGGATTTTCATCTGTAGTGATTTGGCATCTACCGAACAGTTCTACATCCGTTAATCCTGTTCTATCTTTCGCCTGAAAAATAGTTCCAGTCTCAAGACTCGGGAATTATCGTCAAGACTGTTACCTTTGCAGAATTCAAGAACTCGAGTCGTTGACAGTAGTAATTCCCAACTCTTAGGGGCTTGTTTGTGACATTTTCTCCTTATCTTAGGATGGAAATACATGTTCATGGATGAATTGCCTAGATTGTGGGGGTGGAGTCTTCTGTAATATATTGTACAAGTTCAAGTTGTGTATATGTGCAGTTTAGACCGTAGGGTGTAGTTATTGTGTAATCAGTGCATGCAATCTAAATTAAATAGCCAAGTATAGTAGTTCCACTCTTTTGCTTTAGCTCGTCCAAGATTTCACTACAACTTGTAAGCGAAGCTCGATGATATAAATACAAATAAATCTAGTTTGTCGTTCTTTATTGTGTTCTTAAACGACGCAGATCTACTGAAAATAGGTGTACTAGGTTTAAGTTTTGTTACACTCCGGATCTGGTCAGTTAATCAGGAATATTAAGCCTTTAAACATTCTTGTTTGGTTTTCAATTTTTTTTAAACTCATTTTTTCCGTACTTATCTGTAATCAAATATTTGATGGGACTTAAAATTTTTATTAACTTTTTAACAACATATTTGATTCAAAAATGTTTTATTGAAGGTTACTTTGTCCAATTCATAATACAAATTTTAATTTTAGTTTTATGATGTGGACGATAATTGTTGAGTAGGTAATGTTTTAACGGACACATGGGTTAGCCATTAGCAATTTAGCAATAGAAGTTATGCTACAATGACAAAGGATTTTGATAAAATTGGATCTACACTAATCATTTTAAAATTAAATTTTTAAATCATTTGAAATCAGT